GACACCAAATAGGCAAAATTTTGCAACAGTATTCAAAAGATGGAAGTATGTAGTGGTGCAACTGCCTGATAGCGCAATTCCAATGGAAACCTGGCTCTATGCCAACGTGCTGTTCATACAATGACTCGATCGAATGAGAAGAGCTTCGGTTGTTTTCTTGCTTAAAATGTTTTTTTCGAAAAAAATTCAGAAATTAAGAAAAACTTTATTTATTGAAAATTGCTGATGGAGGAAGTCAAAAATGCACTATTCAACTATTGGATTTTCCTCCTGTAGAGTCAAGTTTGGATTTAAACATGTAACCTCTCCAGAACAGAAATCAACCACTCTGACAAACAAAAAGATTACACTTGTTCTAACATCTTTTATCCTTCCGCTCTTTCAACCTCTGAAGGACGCTCTAAAAGTAATTCTAATTGCTCCAGCTGTCAAGAACTTAGTACCCTACACAACTTAGAAACGTATGATGCACAGTTAGCTCAACACGTGACTCAAAATCCAGTTCTGTTGCATTATATGCTTGTTCTCACTGCGCTGCTGGAGGGTTGCTGCATGTGGTTGATTACTGAAAAATTTATTTTAGTTGATTAGTGTTTTTCATTAAAGAAAGAAACATTTATAAATCGCTGATATTTGATGACTTGCTTTTAGTCTTTTAGTGCCGAGGTCCTGTGTTGATGATCAATCGAAGATGGAACTAACCACGATTCGAAATCTGCCCATACAGTCGTCGGTCTTAAAGATGTTAAAGCTGAGCCGCAAGATCGATAAAAGCGTTAAGACGATTCACTTTGATGGTCTGGACAACTACGAATCTGCCAATCACAGATCAGCGAAAATATTTTGGCTGATGATAATCGTCTTCACAACTTTGTGCATAATCTATGAAGTTTACAAACTCTTCCACAACTTTCGCGAGTCCCCGATAGCCACTCATATGTCAATCCAGGAGACAAGGCAGATGAGCTTGCCAAACATTGAGATATGCTTTCCGGTGGCAATCAGTCAGAAATTTCTGGACAGTCGTCGTATGAACTGGATCGAGGCAATGGCCATCATGAGAACTATGATGGCGGCGTCGTCGATAGAAATAAGACAGATTCTGTTGCCTCTAACTCAGGACCAAATCGAAGAATCTCGTTATTCGAAGGAGCTCACAGAGGACATATTTTCTGAAGGTCTACGGCTTCCATTTTCTCAGGTCATTACGTTATTGAACACCACCGAAGTCAACGTTAACATGAAGAATATGACAGAAGTATATGAGGAATTTATGCAGATGGGTTTCGATGCCAAAGACGTGTTTCTGGAATGTATGTTTTCTGGATCGAGTGAGTTTGAACTCTTGAACTGCGACGAGCTAATTCATGAGGTGTTGAATCCAAACTTTGGCAAGTGCTTCGTCGTGTCTTTGGGAGACCGACAACAAGAACTGGCAGGTATGGGCTTAACGCTGTTCATCAACGCTCAGACTATTAACTACCCTACCAATAGGCTGCTGATGCCAAAAGTGACCGGCATCATCGCGAACCTGCATCAGCAAGGCGCCTATAATCCGTACGACTTCAACCACGTCAACGTGCCTCCCGGCTTTTCCACACAAATCTTTCTACACCCCGAGTATCACGAATACATTGATGACCGGTCAGGGCAGCGGCGACAGCCGTGCAACTCGCAGCACTCGCAACTAGTCGTACTGAATATGACGTATACGTCTGGGGCGTGTTTCATCGACTGCTGCCAACAAATCGTCTTGAGTGTGTGCGGCTGCTTTCTAGCGTTAGACCTCCGTTTCGTGAACTCACGAGTGCTCGCAAAGCACAGCATGTGTTCCTTATTGGACATCGAGCAATGTTCAGGTACAAAACTGCAAAATGACGACACCGTAATGAAGAGACTCGCTGCGTGCTTCGTCGAATGCTATTCAGCGTGTAGTTTCTGGAAGAACAACGTCAGGGTCGATACGGTGAATATTCACAAGCCGCATGTCAGCCACTTCCTGAAACGTAACGTCAGTATCGACGATCTCATCCACCTGGACATTTCCTACGCAGACATGCGCTACCTGTTCATTAGTCAGGAATGGACAACGGACGTCCATGGACTCATTTCCGACCTCGGAGGTCAAATAGGCCTGTGGAACGGCGCATGTATGGTCGGCATCATTCACATTCTGATCGTTATATGCATAGCATTGTCTAATTACTCTGTCCGAATGTTTCGCGCACTAGAAAGACGCTTCACGTCTTGATGAAATGTCAGAACGTTCAAGGATTACTTCAAATCTTTCTTTGTCTCGCCACTTATGCAAACACTAGCATATGAATGCGTCCATCAGATAATTAGCTGGTTCCCTACTTCACTCATCTCGTAATGGCGCTATTCTTCCAAATTACTACTTCGTTATCAAACACAGGCCAGAAGTGTCACGTGAACAGTCGACATCATTGCGCCGCTACTGTTATGTGTATGGTACAAAATATCAGCTGCTCCTCCATCATTACATTCTGTGCTTGTTGTTCATTGAGACCATCACTTGTAGCACTTGCAGAACACGTAGAAGGTGTCTGGTTTGAGACGTCTACTGTATCGGCAGCTTTTCAACCTATGCTGTAATGTGCCGGTTATGGCATCGCAGAAGAGAATCTTCCTCTTCGAAAACACATCTACCTCTGCTTCGTTCCTCCATGTTGTATGCCGTCCTGATCGACGTCTACTGTGGTTTTGCTGCCACACGAGGGGGTCACAGCTTGAGTAAACGGCACAAGTTCAAACGCTTGTGCGACAGAGCCAACTTGCCTTTTTTAATTCTTAGGGTCACCTGTGTTTTGAAGAGAA